GCTGCATATTCGGCCGTGACGCAACGTTTTAAACAGGATAAAATATTGAACTAAAGGCGACAGGACAATAGCAACATGATATGCTCAATGAAAAACATATCCTCACTGGCAAACTTTACTAGGCAGTCTTTGAATAATAGCATGTTGGTCAAATAGAAATTTGGCTGAATAGGAAATGACAAACGAATCATACGTTTTCGGGCGGGCATATAGTTCTCTGTAGTTTTGTCTGGTCGACGAGTGCACTTTCAAGTGGATATCTAATTTCAATGAGTTTTGTGGAAGCAAATCCAGTGCATGAATTCACGTGCGCATATACAATGGTTTTTGCCGATTTTGGCTTTGGAATACCAGTACAACGAGACAAGTGCTTCAGGGACCTGTCAGGCCGCTTGAAATGTTTGTGGACTAGGCCTGGAGAAATCACAGGGGAGCAATAAATCCAGTGTGGTAGAATGTACGCAGCCATAAACTTCCGAATCAAATCATATGGTGCGCAGAATGATTGCAATCGGGTGACTTAAAAAGAAAGTCATCTGCCTGATAAATATATGGTTCACTTGGGTTGACCACGACAAATCAGGGCTCACTCTAACCCCAAGCTACTTCACCGGCACACAGATGTTCAAACTATCAGCTGCAATTTGAAGTTCGAAACATTCCGTGACAAGTTACTTGTGCCGGGTTGCGTTAGTAAGTGAGACCCGAATATCATCATGCTTGGACGCGTTCATCGCCGATAATAACGCCAATAGCATATGTAGCCTCATGGTTTCTTACAGGACAGATATAGAGCTAACATAAGAAGATAACAGTAATGGCGACTGAATAGCCTTTTGAAGGATAATGGAGGCTGTGTTAAGTGGTTGGGAGATTTCACTGCCAAACCTGGGGAGCTGAGTATGTTTGACGAAATATTCCTTTAGCAAGGATACAAACAGCAACAGCAATTTGTAGTTAACACAGGCGAAAGTGTTGTTGTAGTCGAGTAAGCAGACACGTGCGGATTTGCTCCTACTGTAAAGCAACGACAACGCTAAACGCACTAGACAGCCGCTGTGTTTTGTGTGCGTATTTAACCTCTGTACGAAAACTGTACTGAGCCATCCAAACGATACCGGGCCAGAAATATTCCAGCTAACTTTCACAAAGACGTTTAAAGCAACCGAGTTGGGTACAATAGGCCGAAATTTACCCGACCCCTACTGCCGGACTGGCACTCTGCTTGCAATCGTCCAACCATCTGCAATTTTAACTACATTTCGACAGATTATGCATAATTCAGCTAGAGGATGGGCTAAGGAATCGGCACACTGCTTGAGGACGACAGGAGCCAGATTGTTAATTCCGCCTGTCTTGCCTGAATGCAGCTGGTTAGCTTCATTTGCAGTGATGTAACATCGACAGGAGGCAGTGAATCCGTAGACCACTAATAAACGTTCGGATGTAGATTCAGAGAGGAGTCACTGTTGGTGCAGCAGAAGCTGCGTTTTAATTCTTATACGTCTACACAGGAATTTGTGTGTTTGACGAGTGATTGCGCCGAACTGTTTCATCATCGGCCAAACGTCATGAGAAATATGGTTTTCTAGATATGATTGACATGTGCATATTTGAGGCTGTTCAATTTCTCCTCTACACGAACCGAAAGAGAATTCACTAAAGCGCGATCTTTACTGTTGAAAGCTATTTGCTTGTGACTGGGAAGATGCTGGAGGTTAGGTGTAGCAAAACGATCCGCACGGATGAAGATGGTTACTGCCGAGCAGCAGCGATCCCAAATTTGGTAGATTCTTCTCTATTTATTCCTGATTTGTGGAATATTGTTGTTAAATTGGGTGGAATTATAACCATCTTATCATCTCGTGGGTACACATCCTCATTGTACTGTTAGCATAAAAAGCATAGGCGAGTAGAAGAATGCGTTTTCTGTAGTATCGTCGCAAGCGTATGCGTCAGTAATTCATTTAAATAAACAAATTACAGCACGGCCAAATTGGAGCGCTCCGCCTGTCAGGTTTTGAAAAATAGAAAAAGCCTTATATTCTCGATGTTACACGAGTCACACCAAAGCATGCATGATCAGTTTTGTACAATCGGATATGCGAAAATTGCTGTTTGATCAACCATTACTCTTGGCAAGTGTATGTGATGAGGTTCTCGAAATCCAGGATATGAGATGCGGTTGTAGTAACTGTTCACTTGTTGAAATAGCTAACTGGTTCTTGAATGCGAAAGAGTCGATGGTTGCGAATGATGATTGAGATATTTATCTTAAATAAATTTAAAATCAGTGATTTAACTGGTGTTTCGGTCAAGTGGATTGGATTGACCTCGAACTCATTGCCTTCGGCCATATCCACAGTAACCTTGTGCCCATTTTTCGTCCGCTCGTTGCAAAAACAGGCGTCAGATTTCTTTGAGTAGCGTTGAATTCCTGTCCGTAGCCAGCTGAGGCAAGCGTGAGACTCATGGGAGTGGCGGTCGGAATCGCTGATGAAGGACCATCCGCCGTCATTGCAAGGTTCCTCAGGTGCCAGCCAACAAGTCTGAAACACTCGAAATCAGGAAAAATCTAACAGGCAGCCAGACGGAAATGCGATGGAAGCTTACAAGAAAATGTGAAGAACATGCAACAAAGGGTTACCCTTTGAACCATTATGTACTGTGCATCTGCGTTGCCATAATTACTATATTACAATGAGTTCTTACGCAAGGAGAAGCAGCGGGGAATGCGAAGAGATGCGAGTTGGGGTTGGATGCTTGACAGGAGCGAGGAGTAAACACGGTTGCAGCTTGTGAATGGTACGTGAGTGTCCGTATATGCGAGGCTATGTCGCTGCTTCGTGTAGAGTGAATCAGTCATCCTATCCTGAGAAGAGACGAGAGCTAGTGTAAATAGATTGATGGAAAGCAGGTGAGGGCAGTGAACGTCGGTTTATAGTAAAGTGTCAAATGGGTGGAGGCAGTTAAGTGGATACTTGAGCAAGAACACGTACGAAACTAAGGTGTTGCGTCGCGCAGTGTAATATACTATTTTATCCTTGTTGGGAGAACCGAGTGATTGTAGGCTGAGTAATAAAAGCAAGAGGTGGGGCTGGATGCCCGTCTACAGCGAGGAGTCAAAGCGGTTGAAGCCAGTAGGTGGTTACGTGTGTAATAACATTTGGTCGCTAAAGCGCTGTATCGCGCGAGATGACTAAGTCATCCCCGGATATTTAGGGGAAGAAAGCTAGTGCAGGCTAACTGACGGAATGCAAGAGGTGGGGCCGGATGCTTCGATTTGGGTTGCCGATAATGACAACTGATTACTCGGTTAGCTACATTGCCAGATTTTAAGGTTAAAATTGATCTGGGTCTCGTTCCCATAACTCATCTGCAGATTGGTCTAGGACAAGAAATTCTGCAATGAGAAGTAAGTCGAGAAATCGGCGTAAATTATTGCGGAATGCTGCAGCCGTGGGTATCGCTCTGATTTCCAATGGCAGTCGGTTCCAAGCGAACGCATGTCAGTAAATAGTGCAATTAGAGGGTATTCCCGTACGAGCTTTTGGTAAGATGATCGAATACGGTCTAGTCCGTAATGGGTGGCGCTCAACCACGTTTTGTCGAACGAAAAACGGTATTAGTGTTTTAGTTGTATAGTATCTGGAAGAGGAATACCTGGTTGGATTTGAGCCTTCAGAGCTGGAGCTGTTTGCACTTACCACGATAAGTTGGTGTATAGGACTCCACTAGTCGCTTTGTAAACGAACGTTATACTATGGCTATTCTCTCACTTTTCCTCGGTTTGCTTAATATTAGTGAGCAGTGTTCTAGGATGGGTCGAGCGCAACACCCGTAGAGTGCAAGACTGGATTCCCTAAGCAAAATCGACTAAAAAGTGAAGCAGGTGAAGGATCTGGCCCTGGCTATACTATATCATGCGTATTCAGCGAAATTTAGTGATCTGTAGCAGGGTAATCCTAGGTCACGTACTGCAAGGCAATTGGCAACTGGCGCTCCGTTTATTCTCAATGCATTGATGTCCGTACCGGAGTTTTAGAAATTTGGACACTGCAGTGCAGGCGTCACACCCCACGGTGAGTGGTTATCCCCAAAAAGAGAGTGCGCAAATGTTTCGAAGTATGCAAACCGTTGAATTATTGTTGTTTCAATGATACTGTTAAGCATTAGTCTCACAGAATAGATACCAAATGAAATGGATCATCATCAAGATAGCACGATTTGTCTGCGTTCGAGAGAGCATTGAAATGGTGCGATAAATACTAGTCGCTGCCAGAAGCAATAGCGCTTACGGGTGTGTCTACGGTTTGATTTAATGCACCCGTTGTCTGAACGTAAGTTGACACGCAGCCCCATTCCTCACATATCAGTTTGTCCGTCGATCCAGCACAAGTAAATTCCGAGCACTAGCGGGTTAATAAATAACAATTATATACTCCATTGTCGTCCGCGTTCTGCAAGGCATGGTTGGCTTAACCGATTAACCGCACCGTAGACAGCAGCGTTCACCGAGCATTTGTTTCAGTTCAAATAAGCACGCCTTTACAATTACCCTTTCGTATACATTCGTTTGCTTGAGTGAGTACAAAATTCATTTATCAGCAAGGTTACAAAACCTTAAATTGCTAAGATTTTTCTCAATTCAAATTGATCTAGGCAACTGGCTTAGGATTGCAGAGTTAAACGTATGCTTACAGAATGCATTGATTTCAGCATAGTTGCTACCAATGGATAACCGCCGTACAAATGTATACTAGTGTTTGGAATTCCTGCGGTTGACTAGAGTTCTATGAGAAGCTAATTGCTGACTTCCACTACTGGTTCAACTATTGCGATTGCATGGTATCCGGGATTTCGTCCACCCTTCGTTTGGTCAAATTGGCGATGAGGACGTAAGCAATTTGGTATGAAATTGCGGCCGCATCGCTGACTACTATCAGCATTGGCTATTGAGTCAACACTGTGTGTAACGGGGTTGTCAATATTGTTTGCAAAATACTGCTTTTCTTATTATGCCATGTTATGAATTGTTAATAATCGGTCAAATGGACTTCGGCAGACCAACTGGCTAGTAAATACAATGATGGAACAAAACGACTGCCCAATTATTTGCATTTTGAGCGTGTGGTTCGAGCCGGAAGATGTGTTGTGGTGGTTTACATTTTTGCGTCTCCTAAGCATATATTTACACAACAATATCTCCTGTTTTGAATGATCCATGCTACTTAAACTTTTCCACTACCTGCCGTATTTTAATCCAAAATCCACTAACATGAACAACAGTATGACCACTCCATTCAAAGACTATGGAGTATGTAAGCTAGATTATGCCTCACAACACTCAGCTTATGGACATTTTCGAACCTATCTGTTTTATCTTCCGGACACATTTTCCCCAGTAAAGGATAATTTTTGGAGTAACTTGTTCAACTTATGCTATATTCGTATTACCTCAAGCTAGGTGAGCAGTGTGGCCCAAAATGTAATAGGAAATATTTCATATAATCTTGTGTGTTACTTTGCATTTACTGACATGCTTAACCTTATTACGTTGATTGCGATAGTTTTATGGCCGATATCGAAATGTTTACATGGGCATTAACATAATGGGATTGTCATCATGATATTCACAATTAGCTCTCTTTAACAACAAAATCAAAGGCTTCGTGCAAACAGTAGCTGATTGTGTGTTATTAGCCTTACGCAATGGCAGTTATATAGTTTTCTTAAGTCTAACTTAACTCCGGAGCCAGTTTCCTCAACCTGGTGAGATATAAGCCAAGCGTCTTTAGTCAGCTTGATGCAAATGCATTTGGTAACGTCATGCTGGCTCTGATAATTGACTAGACGGAACTGGTACTTCTCTGTTTGGTCAGACTAATACTTTGTTTCATGCATCAGAACTTGTTTTACGGAAGACTTTTCAAGTGATTGCGCAACGGTCTTCCACTTGCTTTTTATCGCTTGGCTTTGGACACCCCCGATTCGTCCCTCATTCTGTTTTTGTACATTGACAGTGCAGCAGAGAGTTTCTGAAGCATATAATGCTTCATTCCCAACCGATGCAGAGTACAACGGATTGGGTATTGTGCAATTAAAGGCTGTTCAATGCTCCGCTTGGTATACTTATTACCACATTAAGAGAGAAAATAATCTGTTGGTAATGCTTGATCAAAAGAAGTGTTGCTACACATTGTAAAACCTACAAAGGAAATATTCGAGTCTCAAACAAAGGAATTTACGCACTGTTACGAAGATTGCAACTGCTGTGCTGAGAATCTAATAACAATAAGGAGAATACGGTGTACCTCTTAGGCAAGAATGAGGATTCGCGCACAGATTCTAGGTTTCAAATTGATTTTACAGGAAACTGCAGTGGGTTGGAGCAGAATTGGAATTGCAAAGATTTATCATATCTTCCGGAAAACAGATTGCATCCTTTTGGTTCAAGTTGGTTAATGTTCATTTTAAACTTTCTTCCTTGTTTTAGTGCCCATTACCCCACTGCCTTGTCTGGCTACATCCGGCTCAAGACATTTCTGCTCGAAGTGTCACGACGCTGAGGTTCACTCCCGTTGTATCAGTTTTGGCTCAGAACGAATACCGTCCGTTGCATCCGACACTCTCGCCTTTTGGCAACCGACCCCAAATATGCGCCCGGTCTCGGATTATTATTTACCAGTTCTATACTGTGGAATATACCCCTGACAACAAAAAGCAAAGGAACCATGCATACTAAGTAACAGATGAACGAACCGAAGTCAGATTGCAAAAATAATTGTAAGAGCTTGATAGCTTAAGTGTACGGTGTTTTGAGGCCAAGTATATTAATCAGAGAAGCCGGAATGTTTCGTAACCAAATGTGACTTTTTACCAAGATTCTATAAACATTAATTGGCGGAACACTGCTGTGATAAAAACTATCGTGCTTCAGATCCACCAAGTACGCATCGTCAGTAATACAGTAAAACGCGCATCGTGCGGCATATGACGATTAGGTACACTCATAGGTTGCATTCAGCGGACATGAGGTGATCGGCCTTTGTCCGGCACTTAGTCAGGTCGAATTTTGTGGCTACACAAATGAAACAGACTCAACGAGATAGATGTACCAGGTTTTCATCTCCAGTAAAAGACGCATTTCCATTTAGGACTATTAATAAATGCTTGTCTAATTACTTTTCAGTAAACTCTGGTAGTCCGTGGGAACCGGCAAATAAGACGGCAGTATCGAGTTGCATGCACAAGGTTGTCATAGTATGCGTAGAATTGCGCAGCCCACGGTCGGTGTGCACTGGCGTAACTGAATTGACGGTTTAAATGCATTTAAACTGTGCAACCATAAAGAAAACGCAATCAAACAGGCTATGATTATTTGAGGTCGGATATATATGGCCAACCGTGGCCACTTACTAGATGAAGATAATTAATGGTGGAATTTTATAATATAATCCAGAAATTTATTTCATTTTTGTCACAGTCTAGGGATAGATATAGATTCATCAGGAACCATGGGAGTTAACATAAGGTACAGAATTAGTAAAAGAATACACAACAAAACACATCAAACTAAATGGTTTCGTCAGAGAGCGAGATACTTCCCGGTTGCGCATTTCGATGTAGGGTGTTGACTTAGGGGACTCGATCCCGAGCAATTTGCTGGATAACTTGTCCTAAAGGCAGCAAAGGGAATTTTGGGAATCCCGCCCGTTGGGAGCCGGTGACTGATTGCTCAGTTCATACGTCTTTCGTTTGTTCCTTTTTCAAAGAGGGGCCCAATACTCCCCATAATTACAGCATAAATTTGCGGGAATATAATGCTTCGCCAGGATGAAGCTAGGGGCAGCGACTTCATTTATTGGCGAGTCACGTCCGCCACGTCACGTGTTGTTAAACGGACATATGTGAGTTTTATAGGGAGTAGGCTTGCCATGCAAAAACCCTCCAACTCCTTGAACACTGTCGAAGCCAGAACGGGACTAAATCACTAGGAATATTTTACAGATCAGCATTTTGACAGGCTTTGACTTGGAGTTGCAACGAGGCGAACTTAATTAAGGAAATTGTGATTATCCTACGCAATAACTGATGTAAGATCTCATCTGATCCCGTGTCGATTCCTTGTGTTGTGCTTAAAAGTTAAACTATACTCGTGTCAAATATCTTAATTTCGCTGAGCATGCTACAATTAGCTGAGGGATTGGAGAGCAAATAAAGCACCACGCACCCCAACAAGACGTAAACAGCGCATATATAGAAATAAAGCAAATAAATCTGTTTGTATATTTACCGACAGACGATACAAGGCCCCATAAGTGGGATCGATCATAAAATATTCTTACGAAATTCGGTTTCAATTAACGTATCCTTATTCTACATGATTTGCAATATTTAAGGGAGGAGGTTTGCGATATCATCAGATGAATAGCGTATAAGTAAACTTTATACGCATATATATATATATATTTATATATATATGGTTGGTGGCATCCGGTTCCGGATTGGTCTGTCACTGTGGCCAGCTACAGAAAACCTGCGCCCACAGAGGGTGTATGGTTAGCTTGCGCGGCACCACCCACAGCTCCAAGCACACAGCTTATTTTCAGTGTAAACCCACAGGAATAAGGCTGGGAGGCGTGTGGATGGTAGCCAAGTTTCATTACCAAAGCCAGCCCACACTCCTTCACATGAAACTACAATCACGCTGTATGTGGGAAACAAGCACCCACGAGGCGTTGGCTGGAACGCAGTCCGCTGCAAACTGAGTGCATGGAAGCACTCTTGATCCTAACACGGCCACAAGGACCGTGCACCCTGTCCCCTCCAGCACCTCCAGTCTCCTAGAAACAGTATGGACGAGGTAGTGGGTAATAGACAGGTAGACACCTTGTCAACATGCACATCAAGCGCAGCCACACCGGGGATATCAAGCAAAAACCAATCACTTGAAATGCCAAGGTAAAAGAAAATAAATCGGATAATGCATACAAATCCGGTATCATAACTCTTCAATAAATGAGTATATAAAATAAAGTGGTTCCGAACGAATCCGCGTTAAGTTCAATAGGTCAAACATATATTTCAAGGAAATCCCAAAAGGCGAAAAGGATATCGAACTTAACTACGATTAGCTTTAGCGACGTATGTATTTTTATAGAATAGAGTACCCGTAGACATTGGCTGAGAAAGAAAAG